TCTTGAGATCCGTCAATAGCCAATAAATGGTATAAATCTACTACTTTCAATCAAAGTTCTGTAAAGTACATTAGCTGTGGCCGCCGCCCTCATTATACTTGCACAGGGTTACCTGCACAAAAAAATGATATTTTAAATACCGCAAAATTTTACGGAATTTATTCAGTTTTAAATCATTTAGTATATCACTATAAAAGACTTTCAGAATTTGTCCGTCATTTAAGCTTCCAATTCTGTTTCTTAAATTGAATTTCGAGTTTATCAGAACTTATCAGGTTCTAATAATTTTAATCCTTAAAAAGAAACAATGGTGCAAAGCTATTGGATCTACAATAACCGCTCTCTCCACAGTCGTTTTATTTTTATGGTGCAAAGCTATAACTCTATGTTGATGATGCAAAACTATAATTTTGTCTTTCAAATATTTTTAACTATTAAAAAGAAACAATGGTGCAAAGCTGTTGGTTCTTCAATAACATCTCTCATAATAATAACTATAAAAGACTAGATTCAAGTCAAATAATAAATTATTGATGTTGCGAAGTAAAAATTACCGAAGAATTCTTCAACTTCTTTTTCCAGGATCATGAAAATTTCAATGCTCTTTTTTGTGCATTTACGAAAATAAAAGGACCCATGACCTTCTTTGTCTTATTTTTCTTAAATGCTTTTGTTAAAGTGACTATAATGGTATTTAAACCAATGAACAGTACACTATTCTTGGCAAACAAATTATATATATATTCTTGGAATTATGTTAGCACGGTGCTTTAATTTACAAGTGAGGCGAGGTTTTAATTTATAGAATTTCACACAATGTCAATTGGCGTTTAGAGCATTTGAAAAAATCGTTATTTTTCTTATCTTTAGCTGTTACTTTAATGGGACTCCTACATCTGTGAAATAGACAATATTTCTGGGTTTCCTGTTCATTGGACTATAATAAACCCATCAATTGAGTTATTGTTGAAAGTTTGTTGCTGAAAATTGCATTGTAGGGACATGTTTTCACTCTTCTGAAGAAAACAAACTAATCGTTTCGTAACGATATATAAAAAGCGAAAAACGAATCATTTTTAAATCGATCATATTTTAAAAGGTTGGTTTTCTAAAAGTAAAAAAAACAGGTATTATTTTATTTGTTTTGTTAATGACCCTATTTTCTCTCTTTTTTAATCAAATTTACTCAGAAAAAAATTACGAAAACTCTCTTTCATTAGTCAAAAGTTGAAACTAACAATATTGTCTTATTATTAATCCTTGGGAAACCCAGGATTCATGAGTTTTGAAAAATTAAAAAAGAAACAAAAATCTATCCTTTAGAAGAACATAAATAACACAATATTCAAATTACTGTTAATCGAAGGAAAAAACTTTTGAATCTTAAACCTGTGATTTCATTGTAAAGACAATCGAGAATCTAGAAGTAGAATGAGATTTCGTAACAATTTCTGCTTTTTTGCAAACAAATTGTACTTTTCCTGAATTCAGCTTTTTTTAGTTATTTCAACGGATTATTAGGTTAGCGTAAATACTCAGGTGTTCCAACTTTGACTTGCAAAAACCTATCCTTAGATACTGTACAATCTGTCTGACCACAACAAAAATTTGGCCTGATTTGTTTCAACGTTTATTGGAGACAACCCGAAAATAGACATGCCATTGCATACATATATATAAATGTATATCACTCCTGTATACCGGGTCCATTAGCACTGATACAATCAGGGTTCAGTCATGTGTTTGTTGTCTATTCTGAACCAATAGAAATAGTATTGCGGTAACATCTATCCTTCTATCTATCTCATTATCCAATTACAGATAAATCCTTATATCGGCGCTATAACATTAAATGGAAATATTTACTTCTACTGAAAATCTAGTGATATATATATATACAAAGCTTAAAGGGCGCTCAGCGCCCCGTTTCTGTAACAATTTAATTATTAAACTGTTATTTTTTAAGTCGCCATTTTATTTAGTATTTTAAACAAAAAATTCTCGGATTTTCATTTTTACATAAATGAGGAAAAAGGGTTTACATTTTGGCAGGATTATACATTTTCTTATGATTCACACTGGCGTACTTAAAAGGTGGCAGCTTGCCCAATACGTTATATGTACTTTACTGTTACGTATGTATCTATCTATCTTTTTGTCTATTTGATATCTTCCTATCTATCTATTCACAAAAGCTTTCTTTCGAATTAAGAAAAAACATTTTACATAATTAGTTTTAGATTTACTTTTGATAAATAAAAACAATATTATTCTACATGCCTTTATCTTTTTATGTATCTTTCTATTTATCTATCTATGAACCTAACTATCTATCTAACCTACCTTTCTAACTTTCTAACTTTTTGATTTCTTATGCATGATGTTATTCAGTGTTCTTTAAACTTTTAGTGAGGCGTATTGTAATACAATCAAGTACTTGATCCAATCGATTATAATTTTAATGCAGCTGGATAACAATGTGTGTAATGGCAAAAAAACATTAGTGCAAAAATCTCCCAAAAATATTTAATTTTACGATTTAAACCATACAGTTTGAACATTTTGAATTTTTATGCACTAAAAATTTACATTTTACAATTATGTCAACCTCTTTATGTTTCATAAAAAAGAAGAACAAGAGGAGCTACGAGGTCACAAAGTCGCGCCAGAAATTTCACATAATTTTTATCTTTTCCATCTGTCCAGCTCACAGTGACAATTTTACAAGATATTATTAGTAACTAGCTTGGGAACCCAGCGTTGCACAGGGCACTCGTGACTCATTGTTACTCCCGCATTTTACCCGCACTTTTACATGGAAACTAACTTTTCGCTTAAAAGTCGACCCACTCAATTTAGAATCTCAAACCCAATTATAGAACATTCCCGTGATTCTCCCAAGGTCCCCAATCAAAATTTGAGACAAATCGGTCCAGGGGTTTCTGAGTTATGATCGGACAAACAAACAAACAAAGACCCAAACAGGCAAAAAGAGATTACAACTTTATATATATAGAAGTAAATCTTTAAAAAGTTCTAACTTCTCTTGTTGAAGAGCTATAGATTAGGAAATATAAAGTTCTTTTATGTGACCAAATAAATCTGATACTTGGACTTAAAATCAAAATTAGAGGAGCTACGAGGTTACAAAACTGTACCTTTAATGTACCTTAAATTTCTCTTCTTCTGGAGATCTTTAGTTAATCACGATTTAATTATGGCAAAGCTAATTAGAAATCTTTTAATTACTAGTTCCGCATTGCTTTCTTTACTTGTATTAATTTAGTAAATAGTTTCTGAAAACTAGCTTTACATTTATCAAGTACAGAGTTAACCACAAAGGATGAGATTAAAGAGACGACTGTACGGAATTTATACGGTTTACTCGGTTCATGATTCCTTGCAACTGTAAACTTGTTTCTTATTACTTGTGCAAGGGACTTTACAGGAGTAATTTTAAGTGATCTTACATTTGTAGAGTGGTGTGTCTGGTTCACAACAGTTCTCTTTAAAGTTTTGACATATTAAGGATGTCGGACTTTTTCCAGTCTACAAAACAGTTGATATCGTAAAACACTTTTTTGGCAAACCATTTATATTTAAAAATATCAATATTACCTTTCTCAAGTCGCAGAAAGTAAATAATTACTTTATGATATCTGAATAAAAAAATTCTGTATTTTCGAAGGGCACAAGTAACGTCAACTGAGCTGATTTCACACTGTACGCAAGCGTACATTTCAGATTTACAGGAATCCGAGGCAGTAATGGAGAGGGATATTTTAGTCCTCGATCAACACTCAAAGTTTTCAATGGTTCTGTTGTAAATCGGGAATTGCAGTCTTTGCATAGAGGGTCGATCATTTAAAATTACGCTTAGAGTTCTTTTAGATTTCTAAAGTGTCAGGTCATCTTTACCGTCTCATCTTTTGTGGGTAACCCTACACATGTTCGAATGTTGAAATATTAAAAGATTATTATAGATACACACAAAATGCCGGTAATGAAAAGAATTATCTCTTTATACAAGAGTAATCTATTGGTAAGAAAGGAACTGAATTCTTGGCAAAAACTCAAGTTTTCTAATCTCTGTATCTTTGTAACTTGATTGTGTAAAATTTTTATATTTCAAACTTGTTAAAATTGTATATTTACTGATACTTTAGGATATGAATATATTACAGAATATATAGATATATTGAGAGTATACCAGGGAGTAAGCTAGAACATCTTCTCTTGTTCCTGGTTTCTGCAAGACTGACTCCTGGAATCTTTTTTATCCTTACCTATTTTATCCTCCCTGGATTTTACCCTTACCGGATTTTATCCTTCACAGATTAAACTTTCCCGGATTTTATACTTTCCGGATTTTACCCTTACCGGATTTTATCCTTCATGGATTTTACCCTTCCCGGCTTTTATCCTTTCTGGATTCAACCCTTACCGGATTTTATTCTTCACGGATGTTACTCTTCCCGGCTTTTAAACCTTCCAGATTTTACCCTTACCGTATTTTATCCTTTTCGGATTTTATCCTTTTCGGATTTTATCCTTCCATCTATTGGGGATTCTTAAAATATGATCTCTTCAAACTTACGCTATTTATTCTTATAGATTTTGAGTTCTGAAATATCGGGTTACATCGGGTTACAAAGATAAAGGGAATAGAAAATGAGAATTTCTGGCAAGAATTCGGTTATTTATATTTTTTCAATAAATATCCTTTGAATTTAATTAAATACCTCTGCACATAAGGCAAAGATTTCAGATATCTAAGACTTCAAAAAATATGCCTTTAATGGATAGATAGGTATAAAAAATTAAAGAAAATATTTAAGTTACTAGATCCATTTAGCAAGGGTTTTTTAAACAAGTAAATCTTAGATCTGTAGCTAAAATAATAAAAACGTTAATGACTATTTTATACAGATTTTTAAAACAAATACAAGCAGTTTCAGTTTAACCGACCTTTAGACTACCCTATATGCATTAAAAAAGATATGGGCTCTGTGACTTGTATTAGCCGTTTTTAAACTATGAAGAAANTATTTGCAAGATTATTTTATATATTTGAAAGAATATTTTATATACTTGCAAGGTTATTTTATATATTTGAAAGAATATTTTATATATTTGTAAGGTTATTTTATATATTTGCAAGGATATTTTATATATTTGCAAGGTTATTTCATATATTTACAAGGAAATTTTATATATTTGCAAGGATATTTTATACATTTGCAAGGAAATTTTATATATTTGCAAGATTATTTTATATATTTGCAAGATTATTTTATAAATTTGCAAGGTTATTTTATAATTTAAAAAAGTGCGATCTTTGGAACCATGGATAGATTATAAAAATTTTGATTGGAATTTTTTTCTTCATTTTTTAATGGTTAAAATTTAAATTTTGTTGAAAGATATACCACCTATAGAGTACTGCAAGAGTAACTTCTAAATAATATTTCCGAAAATTTGTTTTTTACAGATTTATCATCTGTGATAAAGAAGATATTTCTTGATGAAGCAGTTTTATCAGTATTCATAGACGGGACATTTCTATATGGTGTTACTATACTTGAAGGGAAAGGACATGACAGGTGATATTTTCATGTTTTTAGATTTATCATCTGTTATAAAGAAGATATTTTTTGATGAAGCAGTATTATCAGTATTCATTGGAGGAACTTTTCCATATGGAGTTACTATACTTGAAGGGAAAGGTCATGACAGGTGATTTATGCTATAACTTGCATCATTAATAATGACCAGCTAAAGTGCCCGGCGTTGCCCATGGAATTTTAAAAACCATTATAAAATATAAATATTTATTTCTTAGAAAAGAGCTTTATTATAAAGATTATGTCACCAGCTATGCATGGTTCTGCAGGGTGTCCCAATAAACTTGGGAATTCAGTGAGGAATTTGATATCGTCTTTTAAAATAATTCTTTGATTTGTTTAGTGATACCTACTGTGAAAGCTGTAATCTGTAAGATTTTCATCTGCTATGTATACATTTTATTTGTTTATCTTTTGATTGCATATGGTTGTACTTAGTAAAACAAGAAAAAAAAGTATACAAACAGAGTAAACTTGTCCGTCTTCACTGTTCATCTTGCGGAGACATTATGGACACATCTTTACAGTCATTTACTGTTTTCATAAAATAAACTAAAGTAGACAAAATAATATTATGGCTTTTTAAATTAGGTATTACAATGCCAATTTATAACAAAGACGATATCCAATTCGTCACTGAATTCCCATGTTTATTGGGACACCCTGTAATCTGTAAGTAGAATTCGAATTTCCATTTGTAATATGCACAATAATAGCACAAAACTTTATCTGTAGCTCTATGACATGGTATAAAAATAAATTATATTCCAGAGTCTTTATTGTTATTACGTTAATATTAGAGGAATAATTTATACATTTTGCGCTAAATGGCAGTGCGTGTATATCTCAATTAAATAAATGTGGAACTAAAATTTATTTTTTTTACTCTACGGAGGTTTGGTCCTTCACCATCATCGAATTTTAAGCAAACATGTATTCAAAGGCAATTTTTAACCAAATTTGGCCAAGCTTTGCCAAAGTTCAATTAAAAGTTTTTGAGCATAAAAAACTCTAGAATGTCGTAATTTTAATTTAGAAAGAATTTCTAGAAATAAAGAAAAATTCCGCCTTTGAAGGATCCCTAATTTCAACATTTTTCTTTTGGAGTTTTAGGTCCAGAAAAAAACTTGTGCTTTATAATCTTTACTTTATTACTTTGTAATTATTGCATTACCACAGATTTTCCTTATTAGCTTTTCAGGAGCTGTGGATGGAATTTCAAAAAATACAAATTAGTAAAACTCAAAAAAACACCAAGTTCGGTAAAATATGCATACTAACAATAACTTTAACGAAAAAAATATTTAGATTTAAAAATTATTTTCCTAATAAGTTTTAAGGGAACTAAATATAGATTCTAGTACAATAGATGGCAGCGTAGAATTTGTACACTCTCAGTAGTCAGTACGTCTGTATTCTGACATCAGAATATTTAATTTGTAGAATTTACAAAAAATTTGTAACATTTGAATTTTAAAAACGATGTTACACATAATATTGAGGATTTCCGAGGAATGTGTGTAACGCCAGCTAATTTGAGTTCACACTTTACGCTAGCGTACACACCAGATTTACTACAGTTTGAACACAAGATTTGAGATAAGAACACGTAGTTCTCGTCTTCAGTAACCAGTTTAAGGTTTAAAGTAGAATCAATTGTAATTACGCGTACAGTCTCTTTAAAACCTTCTCACCCTCAACTAAGCTTTTGGTTCGTTTTACAGTAATTTGCAGTAAACTGACCGAAGAAATAGTATCATCTAGTATAAAGAGTGTTCTAGTTCTTACAAGTCACAAGATACAAACTATGAAAAAGTTGCATAATTAGATTTAACTTTAAATTCGAATTTCCTCATAGATGATATATTCACTTTTAAGTTTTCACTTGAATAAAATCGAATAATAGTTCCACGAACATGACTTGTAATTTATTTGAAATAAAATCCAATTAAAGTTTAATATTTTTTTTACTTTTTATTTAAGTATAAAGCATGAGATATTACAAATAGGTGATACACATCGTTATTACAGTTTGGTTTGGGTAAATCTCGAGATCGAATTTGAAGTGTTCATTTAAAAGCTTTATTTCTTAAAAAAACAAATGTTCATTAATTTCACTAGAAGGATATGATTCATTTGGTGTACTGTCCAATTTGCCGTTTAATTATTGTATTATTTAAAACTTCACCTAGAGCTGTCTAAAATTCAGTCCGGTGTACTTAATAAATGGAGTGTGTAAGTTTTGTTACGTTTTTGTCGTTGTTCTTTAATAATTCTAAAACCCCCGATTCTTTAAAAGTATCCTTCAAAATGGACAATCCAGAAGAATTTCAAAGATTTATTTTCTCGCTCTTATATATTCATTCCCAGCTAGAAAATTTCTCTCGATCGGAATTCCGATTTCTGACTTGAGGAATTCCGACTGAGGAGTGAAATTGCTCCGATCTTTTCCGATCGTACATGAAGCGTTAAAAAAAATTGTGCAGCGTGCTTACACCTTGAAGAATTTGTTTAAACTGACTAAGATTTGACAAATGAGCGCTCTTTCTAGCGGGCCCTCGTTTTTTATCATCCTTTTTGATTTCATATCAGATGAAACAGTTTGTCTTTTCATCCTCAAAGCTCTTCAGACGGACTGATAAATTAGTTTTGATCCGACGATGGAGTCAAACTCCGCCAGCAAACAATTGCGGACTAAAAAAAGACGGCTTTTAATCATCCGATGCCGGAGCTCCACAAAAAGACATTTGCGGATAAAAAAAGACTTCCGATCACAGTAGAAAAAAAGAAAATAGTGGAAAGAAAGAATAATTTTCTAGCTGGGTTTCTTTTCAATCCTGAACTCCCTTTAAAAGTTTTGTTTAGATCGGTAGAGGAGACGATATCTAAATTTCCTGCGATGTACCTGGTAAGTTGAAATAATTGGCGGCATTCACTCGTTAACACGCACGTTAGTTTACACCTTGCATAATCCGAACCAGTTGCCTGGTGTTAGTGCTTACAAGTCCCAGTCCGCCTAGTGTACACTAGTGTACCTGCAGTAGGTTGTTGACCCGGCGCTTTTTAGGCGGGCAGAACTTTAACAATCTCTAACGAGTACTATTAATGAAAATAACTAATCTATTCTTTGAGTTTTCACAATGAGGATTGACTATCTATGTATCTTGTTTCTTACCAAATTTCGTTTAAATTCCAATTTATTGATTATCCAATACTAGACCTTGTTTCCGTCCAAACTATTAAGTAATTTTGAAAGCATTAAAGTCATGCAACCATTGTTTTATTAAAGATTAAAGACGATTTGTAAGTCGTGTCTCTGTTCTTTATATTACAGTCCTGTCTAATAATTAAACTTCTAATAATAAATTCCATCTTATTTGAAGGAAAAGTTGTTTCTGACTTGTATATAACAAATTTGCGTCAAAGGAAAATAATATCTGTCTCAAATGATATTCTGAAAACAATTTGAAAATATTTTCAGAATTTATCGTACCCTGAACACTCCTGCCTGGCGAGTCCATTTAGCGCCTGATCCAATCAGGGTTCAGTCATGTGTTTGTTGTCTATTCTAAACCAATAGAAATAGTTTGGCGGTAACATCTATCTTTCTATCTATCTCATTGTCCAATTAGAGATATGTATTCTGAAATCGGCGCTATCAATAAATGGAAATATTTACTTTTACTGAAACTATAGTGTGAAATGAAAAGATTAAGCATTGATCCTCAAATTAAAAGTGCCCCCTGTTGATATCATGATCAAGTGATCAGGCTTATAAGAATCCTTTACAAAAAAGTTCCCAGCTCAGTTATTTTTTCCTGACTAAAAAACAAAATTTTTTTTGATTCTGCTGTTTCTAGTTGGATTGGTTACTATGGCCTCCTGTACAATTCATCAACTTCTTTTTCCTACCTCTTAGGTTAGTACAAACTTTGAAGGGACTGTTTAAGATTTTCATGAATGGTCTTTGACCATGACCATTTTCTGACACTAGACCTTATGTAATATGTATATTCTAGAGTAATATATTATAAGTTTCACAATGAAAAATAAGGAAAAACTTCATTAGGTTTTAAAAAAAAATGTTTTTAGAATCAATTAGTTCAATTTCTATTTTTATTTTTTCAATAACAGATGGTTGCAAAGATATTTGGATTAAAAAAATGGATTTTAGTAAACCACTATTATCAATTTATAAATTATTATTAAATTGATTAATCATAGAAAAAGTTGCAGTTGAAATAATTTTTAAAAAGTATCGAAAACATCGATTGTATTTCTTCATACAGTTTAATATTGTTATATTAGATTCTTTCAGTTTTTTTATGAAACTATATCAATACTTTTTTAACTATGTTTACAAAATTATAATGAGTTTTACTTTAAAGACTATCAAAGTTTTAGAAATTTTGAACTATATGGCATTCATTTAGAAATTTTGAACTATATGGCATTCATTTTGAAATGTTGAACTATACGGCATTCATTTAGAAATGTTGAACTATATGGCATTCATTTAGAAATGTTAAACTATACGGCATTCATTTAGAAATTTTGAACTATATGGCATTCATTTGGAAATGTGGAACTATACGGCATTCATTTAGAAATGTTGAACTATTTACTATACGGCTTTCATTTAAAAATGTGAAACTAAAGCGACATTCATTTAGAAATGTTAAACTATACGGAATCCATTTAAAAATGTGGAACTATACGACATTCATTTAGAAATGTTAAACTATACGGCATTCATTTAGAAATGTTAAACTATACGGCATTCATTTAGAAATTTTAAACTATACGAAATTCATTTAGAAATTTTAAACTATACGGCATTCATTAAGAAATGTGGAACTATATGGCATTCATTTTGAAATGTTGAACTATACAGCATTCATTTAGAAATTTTGAACTATATGGCATTCATTTAGAAATGTTAAGCTATACGGCATTCATTTAGAAATGTTGAACTATACGGAATTCATTTAGAAATGTTGAACTGGACGGCATTCATTTAGAAATGTTAAACTATACGGCATTCATTTTGAAATTTTGAACTATACGGCATTCATTAAGAAATGTTGAACTATACGGTTGAACTATACGGCATTCATTTAGAAATGTCGAACTTTACGGCATTCATTTAGAAATGTCAAACTTTACGGCATTCATTTAGAAATGTCAAACTTTACGGTATTCATTTAGAAATGTTAAACTATACGGCATTCATTTAGAAATTTTGAACTATACGGCATTCATTTAGAAATTTTGAACTATATGGCATTCATTTAGAAATGTCGAACTATACAGCAGAGGACCAAAAAACTGTGGAATAGGAAGACGACATAAAAGCAGTATTATGGCTTGATTAGAGGTTAAAAAACACTGCACAATTGCTGTGTTTCATGTTTATTGTTCGAAGTCAAAACTTGAGTCTGAAAGTCGTCTTCCATGTTCTCACTGTACTTTTACTTTAGGTATCGAGTTCTGTACGTAAACTGCATGAATCTAATATGGAGCACTATTCTATCTTGGTTCAAACATGGTTAATTATGCTGAACTAATTATTTAAGTATATTTATAAAACCCTCCCCAAGAGGGTCATGCCCGATTTTCATAGGTACCCTATATCTGATAAATATAGTGGCAGATATATCGTTGTTTTTCTAGCAAATCACTTATATGTCGATAAATCACATTAAAAAAATCAATTTTCAAAGTTAAAGACACAGATATCTTATTCATTCTTAATTAGACAAAGTTTTAAGGGTGCCGTTGTAAATTGGACATGCCACTCTAATAATAAAGTGTTACTTGAAATTAAGTCACCAGAGCTGAAAACTTCAGAATGGTGGATATCGAGATTAATGCTTGATCCTCTCTTTTTCATAATATCGAGACTAATCTAATCTTGTACTTGTATCCTGGAAAGTGTATAAAATTCAACCAATCAGAGTCGCGTATACAAGCCCATAAATTTGAAATTTTGCGCGCCATTTAAGATTATATAGAAAAACCGGTTTTTGATTTTTCTCTACTATATCCAAGAAAGAACGGTTTAAGAAGAAAATCAAAAGTTTTCAGCTCAGTCCATTTATTGGTTAAATGAACTCATAGTTTAGATCAAATAAATAATTATTCAATTTCTTCATCCTTGATACTTTAAATTTTGAATTCTATTAGATCAAAATAGTTTAAAATATCACAGATTTATGACATCAGATTACAAAGAAATAAAGGGATGTGAATTAATTTTGATTAATGAATAAGTACATGTGTAAGCTTAAAGGGACTGTAAGCTGTATTTCAAATGACTCTCCATGCAAAGATAGCAATGCCGGATTTACAATGTTTGCCTTAAAACCTTAATGTAATCAAAAATGTGGAAGAAAATGTCGTTTTTTAACTCGGAGAGTGTTTATTTTTATTAATTTCTCCATTGTTGCTTACAAGTAAAAAATGTGAAAGTAACTTTTGCAGAGAACCCCCAATTAAAAATAAACAGTTTGTATAAAGAAAAAACATGGATATCTAATACATACTTGATCAGACAAAGTTTTTAAGGGTACTGTTGTGAATCAGGCTTTGGCATCTTTGCATGGAGAGTCACTCTAAATTACGCTTACAGTCCCTTTAAACCAAATGTGATTTGAACAATATAGATTTAATCTTGAAACAAATTCTATGAATAACAAGTTTTCTTTGTTATAAAAAGACTGACAAATGTTATGATGATTATTTTACTGTACTTAGTAGTTCTCAATATTAGAAATACATTTTAAATAAATTGTAAAAAAAATTAAACATTGACATAAAACAATTTGTCTATGAAAATACATTATATGATATTTGTGTTTTACTGAGATTAATTATGTATTTTTTTACCTAGATTTTAATATATTAATATTAATTGTAATAATAAGCTTTAGAAATGTTAATACTTCCAAAAATTTGTAGGCAATTTTTTTTACTTCAACTGCTCATAAACTACCCTCGGTTCACGTATTACAACAACATTTTTTTACGTTTTTCGGATACAAACAAACACCCAGACACCCCAACCAATAACTAACTACTGTGATGGAGTGTGAAAAAACTGAACAGTTTTTACCGCAAATAAAATGTAATAATAATCTGTATTTTTTATTTGATAAATATGTAAAATGTATATTTATTATATATGTTTTTGGACACAAGACAAGACAAATATTTTGACACGAAAACATATTTTTCATTTTATTTCTATATTTTTTTTTACTGTCCAGCTTTCATACATGTAATTGTTTTTCTCTTGTTAAGTTTGAGGAATACAAAAAATATATGATTAAAAAACGATCTTACGACTATCATATTTCTTTTTTAATCACAAAGTTTTATCCAAACGAGAACGTACGACTCATAATTTTTATACATTTTCTGCATATATTTGTACCTAACGAAGTTATTTTTGAGGTTGTTTGTTTAATGAACTAAAAATATAATGGGGACCACCTGTTTTTGGAAAAACGACATGTTTTTGACAAATACTGTAATATTTGAAAGAAAGCAAATAATTGTTGATATAGTATGTATTTGATCTGGGAGGTAGGATGTTAGTAATGGACTCAGGTATTATATAATTTATTCAAATTATTTATATTGGAAAATTCATGTCCAATAGTTGTCAGATGAGCTTTATTATATAGATTCACGATTTCTAGAAAAATTAGTTAAATTGACACTTGGACCGAAGGGCGCATAAGAAAGGAAATAACATTTTGCCACAAAATCAAATTGTCTAATTCCTATATTTTCGCAACACGTTTTCTTCATTATTTATAAAGACTTGGGAAACCTTATTCAACTACTTCAATAATTTATGTTTATTTTTAAAAATACATTTTAGTATTATTTGAAATGTGTTTAGAAATTTACATATTTTGAGTGTATTTGATGCATCTTTTATTTACTGAATTGCAGTAGATAAAAGTTTACAATGCATTTAAACTTTTCTTTGAAAATCTAAAAGTAAAAAGGAAGTTTAAGCACGATTAGCTAAACATTTTCTTTGATGAGTATTATTTACAATTTGAATTTATTTCTATTGGGAGATATCACAAGAAAACAAAATGTACTGTAACTGTACTGTACTGTACTGTACTGTACTGTACTGTACTGTACTGTACTGTACTGTACTGTACTGTACTGTACTGTACTGTACTGTAGTACCCAGAAACGCTTTTTCTGACCAAGTAGTATATGAATTAAATGGCAGTGTTTATAATTGTGAAAACTGATCATTTTCAATAGAGATTCCTTAACAAAACTGACATGCTCAATTTTACTTCAATAAAACATTTGTACTGCAGTGTACTGTCACTGGGCGGTAATGTAAGCACAAGACGGATGTCGAAGCCTGACATGAGATCCATCTTTCACATAAATAATAAATGAAATATTTTGGTCATATGAAACTATTATGTGAATTATCAAAATTATCAAAATTCAATGCTTTTAACCTCCTCGGATACTAAACGAACACTGAGGCATCTATTCTTGTTTACAAATTCCGCCCAGAGAGAACTGGTTTCAATATGTAAGCAGAGTATACTCAACTGCAATTAGCTTTCCTTGCAGTACATGCTTGCCAAGGTTAAACCGTTGTTAATCGGACATTAGCCATCTTTGCATGGAACGAATCAAAAACTTAAAATCTTGATTTTCCTCTATTTTCTGTGACAGCTTCTGTCTTCTTCAACATTCACATATCACAATTTGTCACAATTAGACATGAACAGACTAACTGGAATTCGTAAACTAACTTAATGTAAAATGAGGACCGAGAATGATAAATCAACCTAACTATGCATCAGCTGATTAATAAACCGGTTTTGAGTACCTGCATGAAAATGGACGATTTTAAATTGCTTGTTAGGCGACTTTCCTTCGTCGAAAATTAAGTTATTTCTACTTGAAAGATAATGATTTAAAATTGTTAAAAATGCAGCTGATAATAGTTTATTAAACGGCTTTTTGTCCTTAATTTCACATTTTGAGTTTTAGACGATTTAATGATGCAAACTAGGCGACTAATTCGTCTAATATGAAATTTTTTACCTCCAAAATAACTATTTGAATTGGATTAAAATGCAACTAAATATTGTTTATTCAGTTAATTTTTTTCCTTGATTTTACTTTTTTGAGTTTTTAAGTAAGAGTGTGGCTTGTAACTCAGTATAAGACTGAAATCTAATACGTTTTTTTTTCATAACTCATATTTTCGAAAAACTATTGAGAGGAAATCTAAAATATGCATAAAATTAATAGTCTTACACGTTCGCAGTTTAATTAAACGTTCTCAGTTTAATAGGTTGACTCTTATAAAGGCAAAGCTGGGTTACCATGGCTTTATTATGCATCAAGTGCATGAAAATATTCCATATTTTTCTCCGCTAATATGATATTACTGTTGTAAAAAGTGCATTGCAGAAATTTCAAAAATTGCAAAAATTGCACATAATTTCGTCAACTAAGGATGTGCCAAATGGATTCTCTTTTGTTGAAGAGTGTTACGGATATATTAATGGGTCTGTAAAATAAACCTTATAATATATATTTATATTTATAAAACCACTTTTTTTTTGTAAAATGTATGCTTCAGGCTTATTATATATGATTACAATAAAAATCGTAATATTAATTATTTAGTTACAGGAAATTTCAAACATGTTGATTATGTTTGAAAATTACAATTTAAATATATACTTTTATATATTTACATTAAAGATGAAACCAATCTTGATAAAAAACTTGCAAATAAATCTGAAAAATAATTTTGAAGTTTAATCTTCAATAGAAACTCCATGCATGCAAAGCTCCGTGGGAAAAATAGTTTAAAAATATCTAATCTTCATTCTTAGAAATGTATTCTTAGGCAAATCTTTTAAGAAAATACTGAAAAATATAAATATTTACTTTTTTTTAAATTATAAAATCATTTTTAGCGCTAACATTTTGTTCTCAATATCAAAATAAATTGGATAGATAAAAGATGAACGAAATTTTGAATGAGATATACATTGATTCTAGTTTTTGCCACAAACTCTAATATTATAATCCTTATATCTTTGCAACCTGTGATGGAAATTAGAAAATTAAGTTTGTTCCTAAGACTCATTCCCTTTAAGGATACTGTTTATAAAGAAGACACTTCGAGAAATGCTTCGACTCAGAACTTAATCTGGTAATTTGGGCGGCTTAAGTCTTCCTCCCCCCGTACATCCCTGGATTGTTCAGCAGATTGACCCATCCAGCATCTCAGAACAAAACCCTTCAGCTTATAACTTAAAATTTCTCTTTTCATATTTAGCATTTTAACTTTGTTTTACAGGATCTTATTTGATTTGGGTTTCAACATTAACTCTGTATTAATACCTAAAATGGCCATCCTAGAGTTTCTCGAGAAAAATTAACAATTTGATCCTGTTGAACATTGGCTTTCCTAGTTCATGTTGTTTTTTTACAAGAATTCAAACTAGTAAAAATTTCTACATTTCTAAAAAGTAACTTTGAAAATTATCTTAAAAGGCAAGAAAAAATACAATGTCAAGGACCTGTGAATAGCGGAACCCTGGTTCGAAGATTCTCTCAATTCTCTCGATTGGGAAAATGAATACTGGAGATAGATAGGAGTTATAAAATGAAGAAATCGCCTTTAAGCTTTGATTGAATTCAAATATGTTCTTTGTAGAAATGTCAAAGGAATTAAATGACCTTTAAATTACTAAATC